AATGGAGGCCGTCTGACGGCAAGTTCATTTTTGTTGGAATTAAAGGGCGGTAGTCGTCGCGCCACGCATGCGCGTAATATATGGGTCTTATATAAACAAAGATGGCGACTTTGACTGTTGCGCAGATCAACAAGTGCAAACTGAGACGTTTCCAAGCTTTAATGAGGTTATTTTAGTTGATTGGAAAATATCGAAGGAATCACCGGCGGTAATCAGTGCAAGTTGCGCCCATGTCTAACCTCATACTGTAAAAGGGTTAATTATTCACTGGGTTTTAATTTAGCTTATTTCGCTGACTGGAAAATGCGCTAAATTAAAACCCAGTGAATATGTAAAATTTAGCATAGAACACATTATCTAAATGATAAAACCGTGAATTTAAAACCCACTGAATAACCTGAAATGGTAAATCAGTGAAATTTAAACCCAGTGAAAATTAGTCATTTTACAGTACTTTCCATTTGAATAGCGCATTGGATTGTGGGAAAATCAATGTTTATCAACACAAATGTCGCATATGGGCAGCGCGACGATCACCGCGCTTTAAGTTTTGAAGGGACAAGGTTTGTATTGGATATAGATGGTACGAGATACGTAAACGTATTTTACCAACTTATCAATGGCGGATCGTTGCTATTTACATCATACTCTCATTGAATGAGACCCACCACATGCACATACTGTGACGACACTGGTGCTAACACGACGTACTCGAAAACGTCCATTATAGGTGTGCCTATACAAATTAGTGTTATCCAGCAAGTTTTGGTGTGCCGCCAAATTAGTGTTATCCAGTATGTTGTGTGCATGTCTCAACTATACTGATTCGTTTTATGCGTCCGACGTTCAGAACAACTGTTGTACTGTTCACGTTCAAAAATATTTGAATTTTTTTCTTTGGTGTGTGCTGATTTGACAGTTACATACGTATTACTAGTCAACGACTGTTACAATGCAACGGGAATCTCACTCAGTCTCAGATTATGTCCATTCCAGTTACACTTGCATACTGCAACTTTAAAGAAAGGTTGTCTCGGTGTTAATAATACTGGGCAGCAATTTACTTTTTTTATCCTCGGAAACAAAAAAATCATCACTAAATATAAAAGTGATACCCCGACCAATCAAACAATAAATAATATTATTCCAAATATACGACATGAAAATATCCTGGGTTAAATGGAAGGGGGAAATATGAAACAGTCCCTCCCGCCACCACCCAAACAAAGATCACACTAAAAACAATTACACATACAGTTTGGAAAAAATTCTTTGCAAACTGCGATACAAAATGTTACACGTGTGAAGCCGTTATATAGTTTCGTTTTAGTATTGAAGCCTCCCAATAGAACTGAATTTTTCGTTGGCGTATGTGCAAATAATCGGGGCATGTTGCCCCATTCGTTTCAAGAGCCCCAAAGTCGCTCTACAAAGATAACTTTATAGAGGGCGGTATTCCTCTCAATAACGAATCTACACACCCCGATATACTGTCTGTACGAGATTCTTCCGAGTCGTTCATTCGTTTATATTAAAAATTGTGATTTTCCTATTATTCATGTTTACAATACACAACGATAATGTTATTACACTTTGTTTCTGTTTAGTTTCATGCACACCAGAACTACATCTTTCCGGATTGACAGAAAGGTATCATTCTAGCCACTGAAGGCGCACGAACCTAATCTATATACCCCCAATTCTAAATTTTGCATGCCGTTTGATTGTTTTAACAAATAATTCTAATTACATGTTCTCATGCTTATTGCATCTTTAATCCTATCCTAAAATTACCCCGTTCTTATTACGTCGTTACGACCCGAGTTCCAATATAGTATGACGTCCATAGCTGTATTTTCCATATTTGGATTTACTAAAATGACGTAATGCGCAGGACATCCTGTGCACTACTTTAAGTTGCTCTTTCATATTGATGATGCATAAATAACCCGTATTGTGTTCGTCTTACAGAAAACTCACTTCTACTGTTGGACGTACACTGACTGAGAAATTGCTGGAGAATGCCGAAAATAGTCGCGGTAGTAGTAAAGACATGACTGCGACTGGTTACAATATTATGACGGTAGACAAGAAGGTAAGTGTCCGTCTGATGTCCGTCCGTCCACGCCTGACGTCACGTCAACGAAGAACAGTCGCTCGCTCGTGTGCTTCCCCGACTGAGATTTCCATGCCACCAGTGACGCAATATGTTTTGAACCCCCGCCTAGTTTGCCTTGCAATTAGAACGTTGAAGCTGTTAAAATATTTATAAAATATAACATATTTACGGCAATGTGGAAACATATACCTACAAAGTTCATGGTAGAAACAAGGGCGATTAAATAGAGTAAACTTTGCATGGATATGGGCATGCGCATGCGCATGGTTTTCTGTATGTTTCTATTATCGAGCATATTTTATAATGGGCTATTTATTAAACACTTTTCTTGGCTAATAATAACAATCGTGTGAAAATAACTTTTCTGAAGACAACTAACACGATTTTAATGACATTGAACTCTTCTTAGCTTATATATCAATGTCATCTTTGAAGCCAAAACTGAGCTTGGCAGTAACCATGTTTATTATTTGTTTCTAACATGCGATTTTATCAGTGTGTTCTTACTCACAATTAGCATTGTTTGGGTTCGTTTCTGACCGCTTTTCCAAATGATATGCATGATGTCTGTGTATTGCATGATTTGATATATGGCCGCCTTTACTGGTTTTGGCACTTTGAGTATAACCAACCAAGAACCAAGTACATAAAAAAGAAAGAATACGAACCGTCACACACTGATGACTTTCTCCCACGCGTCCCCCGGCAGTAACGAGATTGCCACCTCCTGTAATTTCTCGCCGCAGACTGACATCTTGTGTGACTTGAGAATGGAAGACACGCCGAGGTTGACTCAAACTCCCCTGCCAGTCGCCGTTGGAGTAAAGGTACAACAAACACCGAGGGCTCAGAGTGCGCATGTCTGTCGCAGACCGCAGACATCTGTATCTGCAACATCCAAGAAAACTGTCAGAGACAAGCCCTGGTCTGCCGGAGCTGTTCACTACAACCGTGATGTTGCTAGCAGAGGACCGAGGACACCAAGAGTTAAAGGACAAGCCTGGAATAGCCACGTTCCATCTATATGTGAAGGGGTACTATAAATTAAACAGATCGTCTCACTTCACGGAGTGGTTACGGCCTCCAATAAACGCATTAATGCATGCCTACCGATACACACGCATGTTGCTCCCTTTGTCTGCCTGTCTGTCTCCCTGGGGTGTTTTGCGGGTGTGTGTGGTGTTTCCTTGCATGTCGTTGCCATGGGTAACTAACAACCTAATCAACTTTCTACCTTGTACACATCTATTAAATAACATTAATATATAATTAAGTTTTTTTTTTCATTAGTCATTTTTTGTTGTATCTGTCCTAGGCGTAGTCTGTAAACCTGTTACGTCATTGTTATCAGAGAAATTCAATTGACGACGAAAGCCTAAAATACAGCGTATTTTGTCGGAGATAATAAAATTGGAATATGAACAACCAATTGGGCAGCACGAGAACGTTGTGGAAACATAATCTGTCTGTTCGTGTTGGCGAACTCAAAACAGGATTAGTTTAGAGATGTCGATGTGTTTTCTTGGTGATAATGCGTAACAGTTTATAGAGCCAATATGAGTATTGTTTGCTATTACTCAGAAGTGCATATTGAAAATACACATATTAATTAATCAAGAATTTAAACATTGTACGGCCACGTACGCTCAAATATTACTTTATTCAATATAATGAACTAGTGGTAGGCAAATGCGCAAACGTGTTTGAATTACTGGTACGGACTACTACTTCAATGCGCATGCGCATTTGCATATTATTGATTATACTACAAAAACAATATTTTTTTAATTCTGGACAATTCTTATTTACACGCAACACGTAATAAACTCAAGAAGTTCATCTTATCTATTTATTTTCGTTCGCGGGTTTGTCCGTCATTTGGGTATAGATACTTGAATATACACTTTCGGACGTGTCGGCTCGGATCTATCTGTGTTCACTATTCCAAAATTCGGCTCGAAGACATAATTTCAATCAGGAATCAAAAAATAAGATAAACTCTCGGCGATTATGATAGACCGGGACTTAAACAAAAATAAATTAAGAAATAAAACAACTTATGGAACGGAAGGTGGATCCGGCTGTGCGCCACGAAGGAATCAAGTTTGTGATAACCAGTTGCACCAACACTGTCATTCCCGGCGTTGTCAACCTATATGGATGGGCCCGGGTATTTTTAGATGAATAATACTGAATACCTTAAAACTAAACGTATCCCCCACATTGTGAAACACTCCCGATGGATTTAAAAAAAATGAAAACCTTAAAGCAGTAAAGATATTTTCAAATTCACATAGCCCGTGACAGACCTGGATGTAAACGGTACACTGAGAGGTGACAGTTTCGCGTGTATTTATATATCCGGGTTTGATGTGTATCGTGACAGTGTTGGGAACTGGTTGTAACTTGTTATTTAAAACGCATGCTGATAAAAGTAATTGTCGCTTCGCTACATATATGTGCTTAGAAAAGCTTTAACCGATTGTTTGCTAAATAGTTGTTAATATAAATTTGAACTATTAGTTGACACTGGTAAGTTAACCAACAGTAACTAGAAAATCGTTCCTACAGATGTGGTTTGATACAAACACTGGAAAAGCTTACATGAGCTTGTCAACCCGATACATGCCAACAAGGAAATGGTAACCATGGTAACGAATTGTGACTGTTCTATCCGAGTGAGTTTAACCGATCCGAAATGATTTCTTGTTTGAAATTTCATTTTGCGTCATTACTTTTATATATCATTTGTAAGATGTTGCACAATTTTACACATTCAAAATACTTTCCCATTGCTTCTAACCGCCTGCCTGCACCATGAGCATGCACTCTGCAAGTGTTTGTGTGTGTTTATACTACGTGGTCGCATGAATGTTAATTTCATCGAAGCACTGATGTTGATTATTCTCAGTCGAATTTTTGTATTTTACGTAACCATGGTGACTGACCAGTTTTTTACATTTCTATCCACCAGACGTTCATTGACCATTTGGAGAAATTCACTCATCAGCAATGTGCAATGAGACTGTATACTGATGAACATGCTGATTTACGCCCGCCCTCCAGGTGCACGCCCGTCCCTCTAATGAGACCAGGAAGTTTACGTAAGGTCATCCCGCCATCAATGGAGTCGTTGACTCGATCTCAGGAACTAGAAATCTTACGCGTAGCCCAAGGCAGGTCAAGGCCTCTGCGGTTGGACGACCACCAGCCTACGAAATGTGGGCTGCTGATCGGCAAAAAACGGAACAACGAGCCCGCGACAGACAGTTGCAAACCAAGGGAACAGTATACAAACAAGTATTGGCACCAAAAGTTAACGGGCCGAGTCGAGTCTTTTGCGCAAAGGGTGGCGGCTGGAAAACGTATACTAACCGCCACGCAGGTTCCAAACATTTCTGTTCGACGTTGCCGCCCGAGATGTGGCAAGCGACGTCGGAACACTTAACAGTCTCCGAGTTGTTCAGGGAGGAGGTCCGGATGAGATGGGAAGAAAGTCTCAAACAAATGAACCCTCATCACAAAGTTAGGCGAAAACGTAGGAAGTCAGGCAAAGAATATGCTGAATATGAATGGGACCCGTGAACACTGCCCCCATATTGCATCCTATTGAACATGTGTTTACTTTGTTTTTCGTCTGTAGTGTAACTATGCACTCATAATTTAACTACCCCGTCGCTAGTCCGACTAATTTTATTTTTGTCAATGACGGATTTACCATCGGCCTGTAATATCTAACCTGAGGTCTAATCAATGTGAGCATAAGTTGTGCCATCCCCACTTTTACCTCACCATCGGCAGAGGGCGCTAATTACCCGAAGTTATAACGTTTTGGCGACCGTCAGCAAATCGTGAACTCATCCGACGTTTTTTACATTGATATTTTGACAGTACTGCTACCTACTATTCGACAGCATAATTCATGTATTTAGACAGTGCAATATATGGACATGTATGGATCTGAACCTTTTGTGTAGAGGGCGATATTAAAGCGGGAGGGTCGTCACCTGCACACGCGCGGGAATTGAACACACGCTATAACGCAAAAGCTCATTGGTAGACGCTTATTTGTAAACAATGACACGCTATGGCCATCTGACGCATGCGCATGTGATGACACCCCCCGCGCTTTAAACGACTGTGGAGTCTGCTAGCAAGTCAATTATTCTAGCCGTACACGTGTACGACTTTAAATTTGTTTTTGAAAATAAGGTTCCCAGCGAATGTATTCAATGTCTTCGTTTCCTTCCATAGCTATGTGTACACCACACTCGAAAACCACAACACATTAGAAAAAGTTACAATTCTGAAACTGAATTAAAAAATATGAATATTATTCAATCGACGTGATGGCACTAACTGTACTCACTTACGAGCATGATCAAGCGACAATCGCTGTAAATGTAATTTGAGCAAAAACGATTTCAGTGGATTTGAGGGAAGGAAATGTGTAATTTACTATTAAAAAAAATCTTTTAAGGACGGGATAACTTTGTGTAATACGTCACCACAGAATATACTACCAACAGTGATCTAACACTTGGGCTGAGTCAATACACAGTGGTGGACATCATTTGTGCAGAAAAAAAAAACGTGACTCCTTGCACTGGGCGATGTTGTTCTGGCAAATATGGTCTGATAGTAGAAGTGGGCGTAAGTTTGGTGAATCCGCTATATAAGTAGTTCCAATCATTTTATCTCGAAACAATAAAAATCGTGACTTCTGAGAATTTTTTTAAAAAAAATAGTTAGCAATCGCATGATGTCGAAAAAATACAAGATTTTTAAGTACAACAATGCTGTATCGGTAATTCATTCCATTTAACTTCATTTCAATTTGTAACTTTGATTACAACAATATGAGTCACATCACGTGATCAATGCCACGTGACAACGCTATACCAAAGATTACATCTGTCAGTGTTTTTTTATATATTTTATATATAATTTTAGGTTTTTCGATTTAAGTTCATTTTTATAATAATAAAACACAAGTATTCAATGAAACGTTGTTGTAATTTAAATTCACATCGCGAGTCTCAATTGAAATTGAATGAATCGCGAACACGTTATGTTGGTCAGTCTTAATTATTGTTGCCTTTTCGTAGATTTACATCAGAACACGCTCTACATACGTTGGTGTTATTCTTCGAACTAAACGTAAATTAAATGCATACTAATTTGGAGAATATTAAAGCGGGAGGGTCGTCACCCGCGCACGCGCAGAAATTGAGTCCCAAGCGACGGTAACAACGCACGCTAAAAACGCAAAGACTCATGGGTAGACGTTTGTTTGGAAACAATGACACGTTATGGCCATCTGAAGCATGCGCAGGTGACGACTCCCCCGCTTTAAAGTCGGATAAATGGTGAGGAATATTTTGGAGAGCAATTTAGGTTAACAAAATGATGTCATTCAGTTCAGATAATAATTCCTGTCATAAAATGGTGTGTACAATTTCACATGAATCAGAAAATGGCACATAAGTTGATATAGAGGGGTGGCTGCCATTGATTATTGCTTGAGTTATTCCAAATTTCTGGTCTGACTGAAGAAAGTAAATAAACCCGGGCAGAACAGGAAGGTTGAAGGATTGATATTCGACGGCAAGTCACGCATATGGATGCTACGATCTGATATAATATCTACTAGTATTTTTTTAAATTGTCAGTATTAAATTGTTTATAAATTTGACTGTATGACGCGTCTCTCACCTACGTAACCATGGTATTTTTGACGTTGGACGTGTTGTCGAGAAAGAACAGAACATGGGGGGTGGGGGTCGTTGCTTTCTCGCCCACAACCGTGACGATATCTCGGCGTCCATTTGCGTATAAATTCCAATGTGGTGCCGTCAGATTAATCTGAAAAGAATCAGTACGTCTGATTTGTGGAATGTATTTTATAAAACATCGGATGTTGCTATTCAAATGGTCAGATTATATATTGATTATGTCCGTCCAAGAGAACTGAGGTTCATAATTCAAAAAAACAATTGATTATATAGCCGGGCTCGTAGAATATTTTGGAAAAAAAACGTACTTCCATAGATATTGAGAAGCCTACTTAAATTTTCAAAAATTGCACAATATATCTGTAATGTCTAAATTAGCGTACACAACTATTAGATTAGGCGTACGATATAACATTACTTTCCTATTGTCAGTACAGTATGGGTCTTGTGAAGTGAATAACAAATCAGTTGACTTTTGACAGTATTGTCACAATGCTACTTTTTTGTCACGTGTGCATACTTAGCGCATATAACAATATCAATTACATCGTTTACACGACACAATTTCATCCGAGTCCAAAGGCTCGGGTGGCTCGAGCCTCTTAAAACCGCTGTTTGAAGGCCTTAGACTAGAGTCAGCTGTGATATAAGTCAGTAATATTTGACGGTCTGAATTTGAAGGAAAAAAAGAGGATATTCTGCCTTGTATTCACTCAAATTCAGACCATAAAAATGTTGCTCATAATAGTATTAAGATCCAAATAAACTCCATGAATGGACCCCTTTACATACTGAAATAAAATACACACAATACACAAAGGAACACATCAAAAACGAAAGATAATACCACTCTGTATCATTGTTTTACCGTTGCCAGAGAGGGCGCCAGGGAAATTTCAGTTGGTTGGTTGTCGCCGTTTTTTATTATAGCCGAGTTCGTAGTGAGATTTAACCGAATATGAAGCTGTAGGAAGTTAGTCAGTCCAGCCAGTTACCCAGCAGCTCACACACGTTCAAGTTTAATGACCTTACATATTTAAAAGGAGTCGCATAAGCAAACTACAGACATACAGACGGGGTGCAATGCAACCAACAGACAACTATGGCAGAAGAACAGGTTTACAAGAACACAGCTGATTCTGTGAAACTGGATCTGGATCAACTTGTAACATCAAGAGTTACAGCGATGACTAATCAGCTGCAGGAGGCACAGAGTGCTACTTCATCGGCCCAGTGAAATAATAAAGTCGATTAGATGGTCTGAAAAACCTACCTTTCGAAAGAAAGAAAACGAACTGCAATACAATACATAACGAACAGTCATGTAGCACATGGACGATGCCGACTCGTCTATCAGCTGGGAAAAACAGGAAAGCCAAAGAAGAAGATCATGAACAGTATTGCTATGGTTAGACGTAGCTAAAAACTGATGAATTTAACAGATATGTCAAAAAAACGAAGGGACAACCGTTGAGGAATATGCTTCTAACGATTTAGCATCTGATGATGAGGAATACTAAATACAAAATGCAGAATATCGATCAGTACAGAAGATAAAAGAGCGAAGACGTGCGAGTACAAAGGCGATGATCTGGAGAGAAGAACGTTATATCTAGGAGAGTTGGCACTTCTACGTTTGCGGCGAACTAGGCAATATTTGGGATCAGACTGTAAAGATATTCATGCATCTGGGTCAAGTGTGACAGAATATGTTGATGGTTAATGACGATACTTTTGTTAGCGGGATTAGGTAGATTATATCTAAACAGTAATTTAATCTAAACTGTAGTTCAAAGCGAGTAATTGACCCCGTGCGAAACCAACCAAGTGTAACTATTTGTGCTATTAACTGTAATCTTGACATATAGAATTCGGAAGGTTCCCCCACCCCCTCCCGGGGTCGCTGTTGATAGATACAAACCAACCCCTAAAAGTAACATAAGCAAAAGATTACAAAATAATAAAATAACAAAACGTATTTTAGACTTTTCGTATTTAACGTTATATACAGCGCAATGTAACTGCTTGGTGAATCTTTCACACGTTAAAACGCAAAGGCTCATGGGTAGACGCTTGTTTGTAAACAATGACACGCTTAAGGCCATCTGACGCATGCGCAGGTGACGACTCCCCCGCTTTAACATAATAGTCCCGAAACTATTATAATCGCCAAC